CCCCCCCCGCGCCTCTCCCTACGGGCCTGGGGGGGGGTTTAAGCCCGAAGCGACGGTTCGCGGCCCGTGCGGACAGCGAAGCCAGGCTGACGGGGGACGCTGCTGCGCGTCGTTCATCGCCGCGGTCATGACGCTTCCCGGAGCCCCTTCTGCCCAGGCGTCTCGGGAAAAGGTGAAGCCACCTCAGGGACACCCTGGAGGGAAACCACGGGTGGGGAAACCTCGGGCATGGAGGGTGAGAGCCCCTGAGCCTCGGGCGCGGCAAGGACGGCGGAGCAGGCAGGGATACTCACGATTTCCCACATGGACTGGGCTGGGGTGGGCGTAGTGGTGGGGGCTGGGACCTTCAGCAGGCATGTTCTCCTCCGCGTTCAGGTAGACGTTGAAGAGGGCTCCCTCGTGGCTCGGCTCCTTCCCGCAGGCCTGGCAGCTGCAGTGATACTCACGATTTCCCACATGGACTGGGCTGGCATGCAGGAGTCGCAGTGAACCAGGGACTCCGTGGACTGAGGGAAGGTGTTGGGGACGCTGTAGCTGAAACACTGCCCCAGGCAGGCCCTGGAAAGACAACAGGAGGGAGGGGGGCTCAGGGGAGCTGCCTGCTCTTCCCAGCAAAGGCAGGAGGGTTCGCCCTTCCGCTGGGACAGACGGGAGGCAGCCAGGCAGAGGCAGGACATCGTGCCTGGCTTCTGGGGCGAGTGACAGTCCCCGAAGCCACTGCAGCGTCCTCAGAAAACGGAAACGAGCCGCATCCAGCTCTGCGCTGCGGATCCGTACCTGTTCTGGATGGACTTGGACTCGCAGCCGCTGTGCCCCACGATCTGGGTGATGTTCTTCGCCTCACACCAAGCGCTCTTGTCCGGGAAGAGGGCGAGCTTGTTTATGGGGGGCGGCGCAGCCAGGAGCAGCGCGGGGAAGAGGGCGCCCACCACCAACCATAACATCATGGCCAGCTCTGCCAAAATCCTACAGCTGGGGACGAGAGAGCAAGGCGTTAGCAGGGCAGAGAACAGGCCAGGTGGCTCATTTCTCCGACCCCGCGGCAGTTCCTGGCACAGGGACGTCCTCCCGGTGTGCGGGTACTCCCATCTCCCTCCCCGGCCTGGGAGGCTCCCCAAAACACCGCACCGGGAGCGGGATGTGCCGCTCTGCCTCTTCCCTCTTCCGAACAAGCTCTGGGGCAGGCAGATACCTGCATTACTTCTCCCGAGCTTTGTGCCAGCAGCAACAACAGCCTTTTTGGCACTTCCCACCCAAACCTGGGCCGGGAGAAGGTTGCAAAACAGAAGTCGCCGCGGGGCCGAGCCCGGTCGGAGGAGTCGCGGACCGCAGAAGGGTTTTTATCTGGGGAAGAAGCCAACTTCCTCGCTCCCTCTTCTCCCGCCTTCAAAAGCCCAAGCTGGCTTTCCTGCAAAGCCTTCCCAGAGAAATGGGACCGCTTTCCCGGGAAGGAAAACCGCTCTCCTCCTGGAAGTGCGCAGCAGATGTCGCTGCGAGGCAGCGGCACGCGGGGAGAGCTGGGAACCTCGATCCGGAGGCCGGGAACCCGCGGGAAGGCCGGGGAGGGCGTTCGGTTTTATAGAGCTGCTCCAACGGTTACTCCGAGGACGGGAACTCGGCTGCAGACAAGGGGCGGCCCTTTAGTATCTCACAACGGTGGTCGGCGAGGAGGTCGCTTACCACCCCCCGAGAAATCCCACGCAGGGTTTCCTTGCGGGCCGGCTGTTTTCTCCGGCCAAGGTGCCGGCGTTAACACTCCCAATCGCTGGGGAGAGGCGGATGGAAAAGCATCACAGAAACAGGGAAATTTTTTTCTTTGTGGGGTTTGGATGGAGTCACAGTGCAAGGCAGACATTTCTACGCTCTGAAATATTTGGTAGAACCGCGTTATTTGTTATTTCCTTCTATTTATTTATCCAGACGCAGATCCCAAGCCCACGCTGGAAAGCCTCCTGTTGATCCCCACGGCTCCTGGGCCCAGCCCTCTCACGCTTGCCGGGGAAGGAGAGGAAAAACGCCTTGTTTATCTGACGCCGGTGTCGGGGGCAGCTCTGCGCTGGGACTCCCAGCCGGGCGTTGCCCCTCGCGCAGCCGATCTGCGGAGTTTTCACCAGCACATCCCCGGCCAGCGGCCCCCACGTCCATCTGAACTACGGAGAGGGCCCGCTGAAGCGCCTCGCACAGCTCCGGCTCGGGTGGGGCGGAGGGTTTTGCCCTGTTATCCCTCCTCTGAGCCCAACCTCCTGGATCGGAACCAAGAGAGACCGCACAGAGATACTTCCCCATCCTCGTTCCCCGACCCCGGGATCTCTGGAGGAATCAAGTGCTGAACTTCCCTGTTTCCTGGTGGTACAGGAGCCGTGGGGGTATAACGTACCGGTGCCCTCACAGCCCTGGTTTCTGCAGGTCCTGGTCTGAGGTGAGCGGAGGGTTTTAGCCCCCGCACTCGCAGTGCCGTTCCCGACAGCGGGGCAGTTAAACATGTTTGTCCCAAGGACAACTCCCAGGGCTCCCTTCTGCTCCCTGACACTATTTTTTTTCCGTTTCAGTGGGGGAATTCTGCAGTTTCTGCTAAGAAGTAGCCGGCTGAGCCACCGTTTGCTTGGTTTTCAGAAACGAACATCACTCATTCCTCAAACGCCAGCGGTTCCGTGCTGAGGAATCCCGCTCCCGAAGGACAAATCCGAGATGAGGGCTGGGATGTGACCCAAACAGCAATCACAACCCCCCGGGGAACAGCCGAAATTCCTCTGGAGTCAGCACGCAAGTTCACTTCCGATTAGAGAGCAATTTCCTTCTTCCCAAGGAGAGGTGGTGGCTGGTTTCTCCCAGGTTTCTCTTCATCCCGACCCAGCGGCAAAGACCCGAACATTCCTGTCTGTGCCGACAGCCCTGCTTCCCGGGGACCTTACTCCATTTGCCCCGGGGGGAGGTGTTGATCACCCGTCAGCACAGACCCGCTGCCAGAGGCAGGAAGGATCATCTCCCAGCATCTGGGCTCCCGTCTCGCCCCGATCCCGAGAGGGAAACGAGGGAGGTGGTGCGCTGCTAAAGCCCAGGGCCTGGCCTGGATTCAGGAAAGCACTTAAACACGTGCTTAAGCCCTCTCCTTTCCCTAGCCAGGATGTCCCGGGAAGCAGGGCCCCCAGCGCGGGCGCGGGGCGGGTTTGCAGAGGGGCACTCAGCGAGCAGCGGGGAGCAGGCACCTCTGCCCAGCTGGAGCGACGACCCCGTTCTTCAGGGAATTCGGGTGCCGAGCACGGCCCTCTCCCACCGATTCTAATCCCCTGCGCAGGCCGCATCCAGATGGAGTTTTCCTCCTCCCCAGAATGCCCTGGAACCCGCAGGGCCGCATTTCTAGCAAGCAGCAAGGTTGACGCCGGTGCCCAGGGAAACATCCGCTGCGGCCGGGTCTGGGAGGGCGCAGGG